CTGTGCGTAGCGATAAGGTAAATCAATCATCCTATCTCTACGCACAGTCGGGGACGTCCCCGACTGTGCGTAGCGATAGGGTGATTTACCCTGTCGCTACGCACAGGCTCGCCATTTTTTGGGGAAGTGCGCTGTTCCAGCGCCGCCCCTCTAGTCAGCTCAGGGACGTCCCCGACTGGAGAGCGATCGACCGAGAGTTCACATGCCACGCTCTTAGGTTGAAGTGGAAGCTGGGGCTGGCACGGTGAATCGATGATGTTCGCATGAGGTTCTGGGAGGAAGCAAAGGAGGCGCTGGCGTTCGGATGTCTGTCGACACCGACGCGCAGTTCGAGCGTCACCCAGATCTTGAGAGCTCGGAGTTTGTCCACGAGGATGCTAGACAGAGCGACAACCCTTGAACCCGAAAGAATGCGACCCTGACTTTTGAGCTCCGTGCTACGATGACGATGACGAGGACTACTTCGACGACAACGGCGACGATCGCGACGAGTGCGACGGGTGCGGAGTGTGACGACGGACGACGACGGCGTCCACGACTCTCGACCACGACTTCATGACGACGGTGACTGGTGACAATCGCCCGCCCGCCGCCGTTGACGCCGTCGTCGCCGCCGCCATTGTCGTCATCGTCGCGTTCGTTTTCTTTGTCATGACAATCGCCACCGTCGTCGACGCCACCGCTGCCGCCGCCATCACCGTCACCGCCGTCGCCGCCGGCTTTGCCGGTGCCGTCGTCGCCGTCGTCGTCGACGATGGGGCAACGCAGCCGATCCCAACCAGAAAATTTCCAAGGGGTGCAGTCCAATGAAATTTTCCCAGCTGCGTCAATCCGCAGCGACGAGAGCGCTTCCTGAAAGCCCTCGAACAATTCTCCAAATAACCGCGGGCTCATCGACCCATCCGTGCCTTCGTCCTTCTCCTCCTCCTCTCTTCTGGGAACGTCCGAATCCCAAAACAAATAATCTGGTATGTTCGGACTTGAACCACCCACTGTACGTCTGAAGCTACCTCGCTTTGATTTGGGCGCGCGCCGCGAGCCTTCCTCCTCCTCCGTCCCCTCCTCACCTCCTCTCCTCATCCTCCGCCTCCTCATCACCATCCCTCCTCTCCTCGGTCTCCGCCTCCGCTTCATCCTCCCCCTCGTTTCTCCCCCTCCTCCTCCTCCACCTCCGCTCCCCCCCATCCCCCCACCTTCTTTTCCCTCCTTCCCCCGCGTCCTTGTTCTCTTCATTATTCTCCTCCCCTCCCTCCTCCCCAATTCATCCTTCTCCTCTTCCTCTTCCTCCCCTCCTCCTCCCCTCCTCTTCTTCCTCCGTTTCACCCCCTACCGGCCCCTCCTCCACCTTCCCCCACCCCTCCTCTCATCCTCCTCCCTCTCCAAGTTCCCCCGTCCAATCCCCCTCAGACAGAGTACGGTAGTTTGTCTTATTGCACTTGGATGTTTGCGTGCGCGTGCGCACGCACTGTGAACGCGATGCGCCCCGAGACTCCCAAATACCAATCAAAGCGGACATCAAAGCATGTACATCCAAATCCTTCACGTAGCACGCGCATGCTATGTTCACACATGCGCTCATGGCGATGGTTGATACATACTTGTGCCAAATTGTATGGCTTCTGACGCACGTGGATGATTGCCCGGAAGATCATCAGATAATATCTTCACGCTGGACCCGCGGCGCGGCGGTCTACGACGGGGATCTCCACGCTGGGGGTCTCCCATGGCACCCAGATCGCCTAAGACGGCCTAAGATTGCCTCCGCGACGACCCCAAAGGCTCCCAGGCCAAGGCCCCCAGCACGGCCCGAGAGGCCCCCAGCATATCTAAATTGGAGATCTCTACGCTGGGGGCCTCGGCTTTGACATCTACAGCGGGGATTTTCACGCTTGGGGCCTCAGCGCGAAGATCTTCAGTTGAGATTTTCACGCTCGGGATACTTTCGGACTTCCAGGTCGCCAGAGTCATCCAATATGGCCTCCAAGACAACCCCAAAGGCTTCCAGGATTGCCAGAGGCTCCTCGCGCGAAAATATTGAGTGAAGGCCTTCGCGCTTGAGGCCTCAGCGCGAAGATCTTCGGTCCAAATCTTCACGCTGGGCACTTTTTGGGGCCTCCAGATCGCCAAGAAACCAAATGTGGCCCCAGTCCCAAAGGCACCCGACCAAGCCCGAGAGAATCCCCGCGCAAAGATCTTCAGTAATTCGAAACTCTTACAGCTGGAGGCCTTGGCACGGCGATCTACAGCGGATACCTCCACGTTGGGGATGTTCCAGAGCCCCCCTAAACCGCCCAAGACGGCCCAAATTTGCCTCCAAGAGACCGCCCACAAGGTTCATTCCCAAAGGCCCCCCGACACGACACCAGAGGGCCCCAGCAGAAATATCTACATAAAGAATATTGATGCGGGGGGGCTGCTTTTGGAATTTAAGCGGCGATCATTACCCTCTGGGCCTCAGCGCGAAGATCTGAAGTGATCTTCCTCCCCGCTGTTTTTTTCGAGCCGCCAGATTTCCAAAGAAACCCAATACGGCCTCCAAGACAATGCAGAGAGCTCACAGGATTGGCCCACATGCCCCCGACTAAGCCCAACACGCTCCCCGCGCGAAGATCTTCACGTTTTCACGCTTGGGGCCTTAGCGCGAAGCTCTTCAGCGAAGATCTTCCCAATTGGAACACTATCCCCTTCCTCTTCCTCCTCATTTCCACCACCACCTCCTCCTCCTCCTCCTCCTCTTCCCTTTCTCGTTATTCTGCTCCTCCTTCTCCTCATCTTCTCTACCGTTTCCTCCTCCTCATTATCCTCCCCTTGTCTTCGCGCGAGAGGGGGGCGATGCCTCAATCGGCCGAATCTGCACAGCGTAGCATAGCTGGAGGGCGAAGCAGCGAACCCATCAAACAGTCATGAAGATATTGAAATCAGGTCCCCATGTGGTTGCGAAGGCCGATGCAAATTTCCAACGACGATCCACCGTGGTGCATTGTTAAGATATTATGCTAGTGGCCAGCAATGCGTTGCATGGCATAAACTGGCATACGATCCGATACTATGACTATGACGTGCTATGCGTTGCTATGCTATGCCATGAGGTGAAGCGCTATGCGGTACTATGATGTTCCATGCTATGGTATGCTATGCGTGCGCGATGATAAACAACTCTGCGGCTTTGTTTAGCATATGCATGCATGGTAACGCTTGGCCATGCAGAACAAGCTGCATAACACTACGCCACCGAAAACGTATCGCGACTCTCCGCCCCGCTGCCCCGTCTATGGGCAGCGCAGACAGGGGCCCCTGGGGAGGTCCCGCCTTCGGGGTCGGCGGCGCAGGTCGCAAGCCTTCGCGGCTCTGGTTCTCGGCAGGGCTGGAGCTCGCCGGCGCGGCGCCGCCCCCGTCGCCGGCACCTCGAACTCGAAGGTTGGGATCAGCTGGGGGGGCGATCTCGGCCTGGCTCTCCTCCCTGGGGGCCAAGCATGCGACGTCTCTGCTGCCGGGGGCGGCCCCGGCAGGTCGATGGCGCGCGGCGCGGGCGGGGGGGGCCCCAGGGGGCCGCTCGGAACGCGCGCCCCCGACCGCGAACTACGCGCTTCGGCGCGTCGTCTGCTACAGCGGGCCCGCGCTTGCCGCGCCGCTGATGAGCGCGCGAATCCGCGGCCGTCGCGCGCGGCCGCCCGGGGGCCGGAAGCGCCGGGGGGGAGCGGCGAATCGCCCGGTAGCCATAATCCGACGCTTTCTTCTGGCCCTGCATTGAAATTTGCACTGGGGAGCGGATCCCGGTGCATGCGGGGCCCCGGTGCATGCATGTTTGGTTGTTTCCCCGGGACGTCGACGACAAAAATATACACCGCACCAGCCCCTCCGTCGCCCCCGACCCTCGAAAAGTCCTGGGATTGAAAAACACCCTTGCCATTGGTAGTGCATATGTTCCAGTATCCGACCAGGGGCGCCATCGCTCGTTAGGGAAACAACTGATTGGATGCGTCGACCGCCGAAGGCGCCAGCGCAGCCTGGAGGCGGCGCTCCACCCCGCCTCGCCGACCCCCTGGGCGCCTGCCGCGGCCGCCGCGGGGCCCCAAAAGAATTCGCCTGGCTCGTCGAAGCTCTGGCGCGCGAGCTCAACGACGGTCGCGAAGTCCTGGCCGACGAAGCCCCGCGCGCGGTTCGCGGGCGCGGCGGCCCGCAGACGCCGCTCAGCGAAGAGCGCCGCGGCCCGCTTCGCGCGCGCCCCCTTCCGAAACAGACGGGGGCCCCTGCCAGCTCGACGCGCGGCGGGCGCCGTTGGCCCGGAGGCGCTGGGGCAGAGAAGGAGCGCCGTCGCCCGCTGGGCCTGCGCAGCGCCCGAGAGGGCGCGACTGCGCTGGGGGCTGCCGCAAGGCTGCCGCGGACGCGCTCGGCGGAACCCGCGCCGCCCGCCGCGTCGTCGCGCTCCGCGGCCACGCGTGATTCGGATAACTATCCACTCGCGGAACTCGCCTTCACCGCGTCGATGGCCAAGTCGACCACGCGGCGGGCGCGCGCGGGTCGGCGTCTCGGAACGGCCGAGGACAGCCGCTCGGCAGTGGCCAGGGCCGCCTTGATGTCGTCCGCGGTCTTCTTGAGGCGCTTGTTCTCCCGGGCCAGGAGGTCTTGCTCGCGTCGGAGCTGCTGGGTGTCAGTGTCATGGCCATTGCTCTGCTTGATGGCAGGACCGACAAACTGGGACCCGGTCGACTGCATCTCGTTCTGAACCGCTGCCGCGTTTCGCTTGCAGACCTGCCCCATCTGGGCGACAACGGATTCATGCGGGACGTGGCCATCGAGGAGGACGGTGACGAGGTGGAGAAGCAAGCAAGCAAGCAAGCAAGAACTCTCGGATGCTGTCCCGCTGTCTCTAGGAGATGATGTTTAAAAACAGCATCTGAGTGGCGGATGAAACCGCGACTTCCCTCGAAAGCAAGCGTTGCTGAGGGAGGCGCCACCTGAGGCCCTCGACCCGCCCGTCGGCTGGGGCATGCCAGCTCGGGGGGGGGGGGATGGGCACCGCTCCATTCTAATCAGAATTACCTACAGACGGTGGCCGAGGATGCCTCGAACGCTTTACACGACGAGGCATCGGCACACAAGAAACCGATATATCCCGAATTGGCCGTAGTCTCGAAGGAGAAAGGGGGGCTCAGGACGAAGAAGGGTGTTCGGAACGAAAAAACCGACCAACTCGGCGAGACGCTGACTACGAGCTGACTTGGGGGACAGGGCAGGGGCTTTCGGCGAGACCGCGCTGACAGCCACAGATTCCCTCTGCCCCCTCACATTGTTAGACACAGCATTGGCTTCAGTCCGTGGGAACTCCACTGGCGGCGGGCCTGGAACGAGAACGACTGGAGGATGCACGCGCCCAGAAGGTATGCCCGCAACTCGAGCAGCTCTGTCGTCATCACGGACATGCAATACACAAGAAGAGGACGACATGCCAACCACATTCTCTTGAGTCGATACTCCAGGAAATTGGAGGCCAATCACACTCCCATCCTGTAAAAGTAATACCCCAGAACCGACGCCATGCAATACGCCAGAAGGCTGAGAGCCAACCAATTCTCACCATGCAATACTCTAGAGTTTTATATTTATCCTCTTGCTTCTTTTTGGCCTTGCCCTCGCCGGGCCTCTCCAACAGCCTGGGCGCCTCGCGCTCCAGCGCGCCATGAGGAGCTGGGCCCAGCTTGCGTTCGCCGCCGACGCTCACGAAATACTGAATCAGAGTCTTTTCCAGTTCTTTGCGCCCATCGTCCAATCCGGTCAGCCTTCGATTCGACCTTCCTTGTCCGGCGCGCGCGGCAGTGGCGGACGCGTTCTCCGATGCGCTCCACTGGTATGGGCACGAGGGTCTCCTTCCAGTCAGCCTCACTCTACTTGCGGCACTCGGCTGGGCACTGCGGATCGGAGTCCATGGCCTGGATCATGCTGCGCCAGACCTGGACAAGGGGGAGGGGGGGGCCAGAGAAGGCCAGATCCTCGCCCGCCTGCTTTCGCCTCTGAATCTCGGCGTGGTAGTTCTGACGTGCCCGGCGGCCTGCCTGCGTTGCCGCCTGGTCGGCCAGGATGAGGAGCGTGATGCAGTTGACCCCGCACGCGTCACGCAACTCGGTGCTGCTGGCGAGGCTCAGCTTCGCGAGGATCTCCAACAGCTGCCGAAGAATGTCGCCGCCCTTGCCACGGGCCTCTGAGACGACGAGGGCCTGCTTGCGAACATGTTCTTCGGCGTCGGCGCCGGGGGCCGTCGCCTTGGCCATCCAGGCTGGTGCGCCTTTCGTCGCGCTGAAGAGGTGGGGCCGGCAAAAGACAGGGATGTAGATACAAGGTCAAGTGTTTCGGCAGGTCTCCAAACGAGCCAGTGGCAACATCACACAGAGGGCATCGGAGAGCCGAGGGAAACGTATGTGGTGCCAGATTTCGAGCAGCATTAGGTATACAGAAGCTCCTGGAACATAAGGGCACAACATGTCGACGACACGAAACCTGGGAGCTGAAAGAGGTGTGGCACACTGGGCACTGGCTACTGACAGCAACGATGTGCGCCACCATGCGATGACCATGCCGTGCTACCATGTGTGTGTGTGTGTGTGAGGAGGAAGAGGAGGAGGAGAAATAGCCACCCAACGTGCAATTTTCTCGCGGCGCCAGAGGTTGGGCTGCGAGGGTGCTCCACGCCACCGCTACGCGCGTCCGCCTGTGACGACAGCTCATTCTTGGTCGAAGATGAAGACTCCATCCACAAGTAGCGCCCTCGGGTCGCTATCCGTCAACAAACTCACATCGCTGCAATTTCAGCTCCTCCTGTCGCCATTCATGGCTGTTGAGACATGGAAGCATGCTTCTTCAACTTTCTCTCGTGCGCAGTGCCTCATTGCCCCCCACTCGCAACATGACATCATCAAGCGAACGACAGTGGGTGTTTGTTGACAGCGCGTGAACCAGTTCACTTTGAACGTTCTCCGCCCTCGAAGGTCCCCGGAGGCTAACAAACCATTTTCCGCATGGATTTCTCACCGTGGGCTGTTTCCTGTCGGCTCCATGGCCCGAAACGAGCCCCTGAAAGCACCTTGGACGCCCTTGCTGCCGTCGCCACCACGTCGAGGCGGCACGAACCTGCTGAATTCGGTACCCTCTCGGATCGGACGAAAAGGGGGGTAGAAAAGGGAGTGGACAACACAAATCAGCTCACGTAGCTTTCCAACGCCCTCTGGCGCCAGAAAGTGCCAAGTTGCGGGGCCGAGCCCCCCGAATGCAGCAGAGTGCGCGCCCCCTTTAATCCGGGCGCCCGCAGAACGCCCTCGGCGAGGCGCAGCTTCCAGAAAACATCCCGAGGCTGGAAACTGCCGGCAACGGACGGAAGCGCCCGAAAACCTCGAACCCCTTCCAGTCCGACCCGATCATCCTCCTCCTCCTCCTCCTTCTCCTCCCTCCTCCTCGTCCATCCCCTGTCCTTATAACTAACCCCTCCCTGTCGCCCCCCCCAGAAGTGCTGATCGGGCGGGACGGGCGTTTCGCCTGAGTCCTCCACCACTTGCGAGCCTGAAGCTTGAAATTTCCAACAGTTTCAAGTTTGAAATTTTCGAACAGTTTTCACAAATGTGGCTCTCGCCTGAATGCTGCGCGCATTCGTTTTAAACCGTTGCAGAAGTTTTAAAGATATAGGGCGGTTCCCTTTTCAATGTGGTTCTCGCCGTAGCGCCGCGCGAATTCGCTTCAAAAGTTAGCAACAATCTGACGGACCTGTAGGTTTGAAGTCCCGGGAACTGTGTTCTGTCACGAGTTAGGGCTGTCAGGACTAAATTGCCACACTGTTTCGCGATGCCGAAGTCCTAGGAATGGTTTTCTGGAACGATTTAGGATGTTCAGGATGCAACAATCATGCTGGTTCTCGGAATTCGAACCACGGGAATTGTGTTTGGCACGATTAGGGGTTATCAGGCGGTTGTCTTTCCATGTTGCACTTCCCGCACTGCGAATCATTCAGCAGGGGCCCATGTCAAGGAAACTTGGAGGGAGGGTTCGTTGCAGCATCGTTGATGCTGCTTTGTGTTCACCCTGGTCCCCTCCTCCTCCTCCTCCTCCTCCTCCTCCTCCTCGTCCCGAGAGGAGGCCACGCTGCCTGCCCTCCGGGTCCCGCTGCGCGAGGAAGCGGCCACACTTGTCGACAAGGCCGGGGTCCTTTTGGGTGGGCGCTGCTCGCGCCCTGGTGGCCTCCCAACGATGCCCCCTGCCCACACCCCTTTCCGCGGGCTGCCTCGGAGAGCGGCGGAGGGGAGGAGAGGGAAGGATGCCAGTTCGCTAAGTGAGGGGAAGAGGGGAGGCGAGGCTTGGCTTGGCTTGGCCTGGTCCTAACAGCGGTCGACAATCAGGTTTGCCCGAAGCCCTCGTGGTTGGACGCATCAAATCGGAAAAATCGAAGACCGACCTAGCAGAGGCACGATGGATCGCTTGACGACCAAGCACCTGCAATCGTGGGCGATCGTCGGCCGTCACGCCGAACGCTAGGAGCACGACATCCTTTCCGCATCAGTCCCTCTGCCCCCACGTCGACTACGGCAGGCTCAGCGGCGGCGGAACTGACTGGGCGGCAGCCCCCTCTCGAAGGCCTCCTCGGGGCTCGGGAAGCACGCCGTGAAGGCGACCAAGACGCAGCTCTCGAACCCCCTTCGTGTTGTGGGGGAAAAGTGGCTCAACTTTATGTGCCTGTGCTCCTCGGTTCCCCCCTTTTACCAGGGCGCTCGCTACAATAATCACAGAACCCCTGCGTGAGCTTCTCATCAGAGCTGACAGCCCCGCAGCACGAGCAGACGAGAATGAAGGAGGGACCAGAGGGGAGGAGGAGGAGGAGGAGGAGGAGGAGGAGGAGGAGGAGGAGGAGGAGGAGGAGGAGGAGGAGGAGGAGGGGAGGGAAGAAGCTGGGGACGAGGGGGAGGGGGGGAAGAATCGAGACACTGCTGGGACTCCATGGTGCCCCGCATCGCCACGGCTGGATTCGCTCTGAAAAATTTGAGTTCGCTCCCAGGCAAGTCTGGGGCCGGTTTTCAATTCCAGGGGATGAGAGATCAGGCAAGGAGATAATGAGGATGAATAGGGATGGATGAGCAGGATGAAGAGGGGGGGAATAATGAGGGAGGCGAGAAGAAGGGGGGCACCTGGAAATGTCCTCGGCCGTTCAGGCTGGACTGGCGATAACTCCTACTCCAACCTATCACCCGTTTCATTATCCTCATCGTTCGCTGCCTGATCCTGCGCGGCAACATGAGGCGGACACGACGTCCACATCCAAACCTCGATGCTCTTCCCCCAAATCCCCCCAAACCTCATCAACGTTTCCCGCCTCCAACTCACCCCCCGTCTCCTCCTCCTCTCCCAACTCATCTTTCTCCTCCGGATTCCCCCTAGAATCTCCACAAGCAATCCCCCAACCTCTTCAATCCCCCTAGAATGCCCCTCCTCCAAAGGTCTTACCTCTTCTCCTTTCCCTGTCGTCCAGCTCGCTCGGTAGCGTTCTCTCTTCCTGATAGTCCTCCGCCCAAGCTCCTGCTGATCCTCCTCCTCCTGCTCGTCCTCCATCCTCCCTTCCCCCTCCTTCCCCCTCGTCCATCCATTACCCACACTTCCTTCTCGTCCTGCTTTCTACTTTTCCTCCTCCTCCTCCTTATGCTCATCCTCGTCGTCGAAATATTCCCGTCTCCCCCACGTCTCCCCCCCGTCCTGCATTTCCTCCTTTCTCGCCTCTCCCATAGCCGTCCATCCTAGAGCCTGCACTCTGTACATCCTCATCGTCCTACGTGCTCCTGATCGTCCTCATCTCCCTGCGGCCCCGCCTACACGTCATCCGACCGCTCCTCGTCGAGCCTCTTGCATGGCCTCCTCGTAGCTCATATGAGCACATGGCTTCTGATATTCACTTCTCGTCTATTTATCTCTCTCTGCCTTTCGTCTCTTCCTCTGTACCCACATCAGCCAGACATTACAGATCATATAGTGTATTACATGTTCGTATGACATCCGTCCCCAGCCACCATCCATTATCCCTCCTCCTCCTCCTCTTCCTCCTTCTCCTCCTTCTCCTTCCCCTCCTCCTCTGCATCCCTTCATCATCGTCCCTTTCCTCGTCTTCCGTCTCATCATCATCTTGGCCCACCTTCCTCTCAATCCACGCCTCGCCTTCACCCTCATCGTTATCCTCCGACCTCGTCTTATTATTAGTATTATTATTCGTCTTCTTTTTCACTCTGCACCCACACCCCCATCCTCCGCCTAATCCCCCCCCATCTGCCATATTCGGTTCGTTACCGTTTTTCATCCTCCCCCTCTTCCTCCTCCTTCTCCTCCTCTTCCTCATCCTCCTCATCCTCCCCCCTCATCAGCATCATCATCACCATCATCATCATCGTCATCGCCACCAATATCAGCATCGTCATCATCATCGTCATCATCATCATCATCAGCATCATCATCATCATCATCAACATCATCATCATCATCATCATCAGCATCAGCATCATCATCATCATCATCATCATCATCATCATCATCATCAGCAGCAGCAGCAGCAACATCACCATCATCGTCATCAGCATCCATCCTCGGTGTTGCTGTTGCTGCCTCTTCCTTCGCCTCCCTCCTCTAGCCTCCTCCTTCTCCGCCGCCTTCGGTTCTGCCCCCTTCGCCTCGTCCCCTCCTCCAGCGCCTCCTCCTCCTCCTTCTCCTCCCTGCCGTTCTCCTCGAGTCCCCATTCGTAACTGTCCTCCCAATCCTCCCTCCTCGATCTTCGCCTCCTTAGCCCGAGGCCTGCTGTACTCCGACCGCAGCGGGCGCCCCGCTGCTTCCAAAAAGGGATGTGTCACATGTTACTGGCGCGCGCCTGCGTAGCCGCTCCAATGTCCCACCGCATTCTGCTACTAGTCTATCATTTCAGCCCTGCCCCCTCCCATCTCCCACGCTCCCCTCGGCTCTCTACCTCTACCTGGCTCCCCCATATCCGCCCCGCATCTCCCATCGAATCGCCCCCTCCGCCTTCGCGCCTCCCGTCCTCCCTTCCTCTATCATTCTCCCCAATCTCGGCCCGAGGGTCTCCGCACCCAGGGCGCAGCCAAGACGCGAAACTCCCGATCATTCCATTGACAACACGGCGAGACTGAACCTGTGGCCTTCGCTACAGGACCGATTCGTGTCACATCTATCCCCGCGCGCGCCGCAATGGTTTCAGAGCGCCCTCGCCGCGCGCTTCATGCACCGCCGCAACGGGTCGGCTTGCCACCAACATCAGCCGAAAGAAAACCTGCGCCGCCACACTCCAAAGCAGTAGTGGCGTCGACCGAACAGTCGTTGCAC